TATTTATAGCCGCCATGTTGGTTAATTTTTAGCTAAAAATCCAAAACTCAGTTTTTGGATTCTTTTTGGCTGCTTTGTTTTGCTTTTTATTCAGTTATTCTTTCCAGATGTTTGTAAACTTCGCGTATGAAAACGATTTTTGGCGGCGTGAGCCTGGCCCAAGGAGCAGAGACGTCACGATGAAGAACATCACTCTTGATTTTGACTCACTCCAAATTTTTCACCTGAAAACGAGTTAAAATAAAGAAAAGGGTTGTAATTTTCAGACTGTTTGAAAAAGCGCAAAATACCAAACATAACCGTTTTTTCAAGCGGAGAACATTCTTCATTATATATTCAACAAAGGACCATCTGTCTCACATGAGCCGTTAAGTACGTCTTCGTCACGTAGTCAGCGGGGTTATGTACTGCGCAGGGTCAGTAGCGTTTCTTGTCGTCATTCAGGTTGGCTGCCATATTGTTTGGGAATATTACACTCCAAATCGCTCTACTTCTACCTTCAGAATCCCTATTTTACCTTAGTCTTTTTAGTCAATGAATAAAAATGTCCAAAGCAGAGCAAGTGGTTCAGCTTGAGCCGTCTACAGAGCTACGATTCCGAGGTAACTGGTGTTTTTTATTGCTTTTTTTTCAAGTCACTAGTGAGTCATGGTTCGTAGAGGTAAATCTCCATTTTTATTGAACTTTGTCCTTATATTTTGATTGTTATTCCTGCAGGGCCATTTACAGAGGTGGTTACTTCGACTCTTAAGATTACAAACCCTACTCAAAAACGTGTGTGTTTTAAAGTGAAGACAACGGCTCCAAAGAGATACTGTGTTCGTCCAAACAGTGGAATAATCGAAGGGAATGGATTCGTGGAAGTAGCAGGTAATCTTTTTCTCTTCTAGGTTTACTCGCCATTTATTTAATCATCTTCTTTATTTTACTACTAGACTACTCTGCAATTATTTCAACATTGATTAAGTTCCCTAAACTATGTACTTTCCCTTTTATAATACAAATAATCTTTTTTTCGTACATTCTTCTCGAGTGAGCTTCTATAAAACCCTTGCTAAAAGCTTAGTTGGTGTAAACTTTTACTTCACACATTCTTTTTAAATTTTGATTTTTACACTTTTCTACTTCCTTGATCTTCATAAATTAAATCCATCATTTTTTAAATTTGTGATAGATATTTTTTTGTGGGTGTTTAAATTAATCACATTCTAAAGTGATGGATATTAAAGAKAAGGCTTTGCTCTCCATAATATTGTATTGCTTATGTAGATAATTTTATTATGAGTAGTCAGAAAACATATTTTATTTCTGTAGATTTGCTGTAAAAGCAAAAAATAAAAAGAATTAAAAAAATTAATGATTTTGCAATATTTATTCAGCATTATATATATCCTAAGATTATTTTCTTGGGCAATCTGAAATGATCATTGATTTTGAATATTAAAAAAGCTGTACCCCTTCAAAATTGTCTTCGTTGAGAGGAAATTGCAATTATTTTCCCCTGTTAGTCTTATTAATATTTTGCACCCTGCAGTACATAAAAAAATCTAAAAATCACCATGTTTATTCTTGACTTTCCACTGTCATTTTCGATTGAAGTTGTGTTATTAACAATAGTTAACAATTATTCACCRAAGACAGCTTGAAGACTCGCGTCTTGGTAAATATTCCCTGATATTCACTGAGCCTGAGGTTAATAATTGTTTTAGTATTTTTAASACAAGTAAATTTAATAAATAAAGGAGAGAAAGTTATTATTTTAASTTTCATTTATCTCTGCAAGCTGCACACATCAACAAACAAGCGTGCATGAGCGTGTTATATTCACCTGTAGGTAAGTATAACACAGCATGAGACATAATTTGTGACCAATGAGGGCACCAGATTTATTATATTAACTTGTATAAAAATACTAATACAGTATARTTAGTATATCAGAGATAAAAACGACACAAACAACAGTGGCGTGCTAAAACTGACATTTGTCTAGACATGTATGTTATGTATCTATGCTTCTTGGTCTGGTCTTTTTAATGCAATAAGTCCAAAATTCATTATGTAAAAGTTATATTACATCATTGTACATTACAGAGAGTAAGAATATCTTTYATTATTATCTATTGCTGATGAATTTATGCTCAAATTTATCTGACRTTAACATTCATCTTAATTATGTTGTATCATCATGCAACTGAGACCATGCAATGTTTTTAGTGCAGGACTGAGTACTCCACACTCAAAAAACTAAAGTGGGATGATCAATAATAATATTATACAATAGCTGTAAATGAAATATTTTTTGAGGTTGTTTTGAGAAGCAAATATTATCTTGCATCACTGAGAATTATCCTTTTAGTGTACTTGCTTTTAAACTACTGTATTTCAGCAGCAGTAAAAGATCAGATATGTAGAACAATATAGTATCTAAATAGTTTTACTATAATCAAAATCATTAATTCTCAAAGAGAAGCACTAACTAGAAAGGGAAAATTTATGTTGGAATCAGGGTTCATGCTACTCCTTAAACTCCTTGAAAACTACTTGAATTTAATTCATGTTTTCAAGGGCACTTGAAAAGCTCTTAAATTTTACGATTTTAGCGAAACTCCTTGAAAACTCCTTGAATTTTTGCTTTGATCATTACTTGCATGGTTCTGTAATAGATCTAGTCAGAAAGATCGGAAAATCTGAAAGTCBGCCATGTGCAACCACCGTGTAAAACCTTGGCATAGTTAGCTGAACATACTCCTTGAAAATTCATTTTTGGGTCCTTGTATACTCCTTGRATAGTCATTGAATTTTAACTGGTTACCTCAGCATGTACCCTGTGGAATAAGACTCTTTTTTCCCCATGGGGTCATTCCTGTTTTATATACATGTACATGTACCTTCATTATCAAGTTTCAAGAATCTGCATTTTTAACCATAGATGTGCAAGTGAGTATGTTGTCGGAGCATTTCAAAGTCAATTTTGAAAATTCAATCACAGTTAACATGCCACTGAAAAGAGCWTTTCAGAAGCCAAAAACGGCAGACAAAAAAGAAGATCTATGGGGAAGCTGTGTTTCTAGATCTACTAAATATGTCAACATGTGGCGTCTACAAGAATCGCACCTGCAACCTGACCCTTATAACTCACAGTGGTAGAAGGTGATCGTTTTACTGCCACCATTACCACCCTAAACTAATCATAATATGTAAACGAGAATCAATACTGACAGTGTAAGAGATTCTTTTTCCTTTCCTTGATAAAGTAGCATCAGGTTGTTTTGACCAGACTGTTTATAATAATCATAAATATTATAATTATAGTAATAATAATGATCATAATAATATTTATTTATATAGCGCTAAATCCACTAAATTCTTCAGAGCGCTCACTAATAAAAAGTAATACATAATTAACTAAGCTAAATAATGGCACTGTATATTGTATTGTATTTGTTGTTTTCAGTCTGTTGATGTGTTGACAGGAAATGAGATGAAAGTATTCACTTTCTTTTGGTCATTTCTGAGTGATAGTTCCGGCTAAGTCCTTCCTGAAAGGATATCATTTCTGTGTTAGACAATGTATACTCTAAATAACTTTGAAGCAGTTCGGTATTATCAGGAAAAATATGACATTTTTTTTGAGCTGTGCTATATCAAGTTTGTAGTTTAAAGATATTGTATAATCAACTCAGAATAATTTGTTTTCCTTTCTAGTAATGCTTCAGCCATTTGAATATGACCCAAAGGAGAAAGCCAAACACAAGTTCATGGTTCAAACAATGTTTGCTCCAGAAACATTCACTGATCAAGAAAGTTTGGTAAGAATAGAAGCATACACATTAAAGGTCTTTTGTCATTCTTAACTAGTGTATTTATTAATAAACTAATAGATAAATATGCTCTATGCATGCTTTGATTGCTTACATTGATTTTAAAATCGTACATGAAGTTTGGTAGTTATGARATGCCTAAATATAAACGGTAGCAATACTGACTATTGTTCTTGGCTGAGGGCAGAAAAAAATTTAGCATGCAGATAGCAGTCACTGAATTTGCGTCGAAGCTGGTATAAAACCTGCAGCACTCTTATTATTCAAATAGAGATTTTGCGTACTGACTTGAATAGCATYGAATCTCAACAAATTGATATTGATATAAAACAACTTTGAGTTCACTTTGTATCCTCTGAGGTATATTGTATATTTACATTTGGTGGATCCAGGATCCTGATTCCATGGGGGAAAGGGTAGGCTGGGGGGTGGGGGGATGTTACCCAGAAGGCCAGTATGCTSTAACATTTATAATGATGAATTTCATTGCAACGACTTAAAATATAAATATAACATTGCCTGTTCTACAGTGCTCCTTGCAGGGCTAAATATAATGGCCAGCTATTGGATAGCGTTAGACCAAAATCAAAACATATTTTACAAACACCACACTGAGGCAAAAGCACTTGCAGAAAAACACAATTTAATCAATCTGATACACAATTTAGAGCTACAAATATCGACTTTGACAATATCATGGTTCGAGAGCTACTTATCGCACCGGAAACAAGTAGTTAGGATTYGTAATACTACATCTGAAGCTTACCACCTCACCCATGGTGTGCCTCAAAGAACCATTCTCTCACATCAATAACCTCCTATCCATCCCAAAACACTGTCAAGTAATGGGCTATCCAGACAAGACGAARCTGYTCCTTGAGCTGCCATCTAAAGAGTTCAATAAAGTAATTCCAGTGCTTAATGATGACCTGAGAGAAATAGCAAAATGGTGCTGCACCAGATAAAACAAAAGTCATCATTGTTGGTGTACCACAGCTCACAAAATCTCTGCCTCCACGTAAAGTATCACTGCTAGGGAAAGAAATTGAGGCCGTTACTGCTGCTAAGGACTTTGGAGTATTTATCGATAACAGTCTAAATTATTAAGAACATGTCACAAAGACGGTTCCAAACTGTCTTTTTAAACTGAGTGAAACTAATAGAATAAAACACTTACTTGATAAAAAAAAACATTGATAATGTAAATGAACTTTTTCATTTTTTCTAAATTGTTTTACTGCTCGACTGTATGGAGCAATACTGCTAAGACAAACAAAAAAAAAAAAAGGTTCAGTTAATACAAAGCCTTTGCTGCACTAATTATTAGTTTTAGGGCTTTAGAAACATGATCACACATCAGAAGGACTATTATCTTTAAAGTGGCTTAATATGAAGGAAAAAACAAATTTTTTCAGTGACTGTGTATGTACGCACTCCACATACAGGGTTCTTCCTTGAGATTCCCTCCACACCCACTACCACTACATTCCATATTTATAACATACAACACTCAACTCACATGTTGATTTTTACGGAGGGAGGAAACCAGAGAACCCTGAGAAAACCCTCGTTGCAAGGGAGAGAACAACACATCAAACAAACTCAACTCACATTTGATCCAGTCTAAGCCGGGGCTCAAATCCGGACCACAGTGGTGAGAGGCGAGCGGTAAACCACTACACTACCCATACCACCCTAGAATTGGAACTTGTGCATGCAAATGTTTGCCTGCTGATCATCTTGATCAGTAACATTGAGCCAGAAACAAAATAAGACCAAGATGGAGCTAATTTGTCCAGTCACCATGACCAGCGTCTAATCAGCCTTTATTTTTAGCATTTGACTTAGGAAAGCCTATTATTTTTCATGTAAATTTAGGTTATTATTGTTACNCTTAGGAAAGCCTATTATTTTTCATGTAAATTTAGGTTATTATTGTTACATTTACCCTGTGTGCWATTGATTGTAGTGGAAAGATGCAGAACCAAATAGTTTGATGGATTCCAAACTAAAGTGTGTTTTTGAGATGCCTTCAGATGCTCCTGCCACAACACCTGTCGTAAGTCCAACATYCATATTTGTCTCCTCTTCACCACCATGTACCATGTTCATTAGCATTAGTATCCTTGTCCTCRATCCTCCTTCATCAGTATCATCATCAATGACTTTATCCACCAACACCRTTATTTACATATTCAGTGCCATCATAGGCACCATTGCCAACACCATCATCACCATCACCACCACCACACCTGTAGTAAGTCCATCCATATTTGTCTCCTCTTCACCACCATGTACCATGTTCATTAGCATTACCATCCTTGTCCACAATCCTCCTTCATCAGYATCAKCATCAATGACTTTATCCACCAACACCATTATTTACRTATTCAGTGCCATCATAGGCACCATTGCCAACACCATCATCATTTCACAAACATTGCATCTTCATCATCACCAATCACCACCATCATCATCATCATCATTATTTTCATCATCACCATCATACCAATCAAAACCACTAACATYATCATTAGCATCATCATCATCACTAACACCACCACCATGATTATCATCATCTTTACCAAACATTACCACCACCACCATCATCACCACCATCATTATCTTCATCTTCACCAATCACCACCATCATCACCACCATCATTATCTTCATCTTCACCAATCACCACCATCATAATCAACACCATCATCACCACTGCCAACATCGTCATCATTGTCATTATATTAACCAATCTCCACCATAACCATTATCATCATCATTGCCTCCATCACCATCATCATTATCATCTTCACTGCATCTTGATAATCCTAACCAAT